TTAAGTGAGATGGAACTTGGGGTACATAAGACAAATCTGACTCCTGAAAGGGGTACAGTAGTCTGGAAAGGTTGAGAACCACTGATCGAATGTAGGCAGAAGGGGAAAAAGTTTTTTTTTTTAATTCTTCAGCAACAGTCTGCAGCAATAAACTAACTTTCTGCTAAAGAAAGATCTCCAGGAATGAAAGGAAAGGCTTTAAAAGCCATCTTTATGATATTGTACACATAAAAGCATTTATGAGAAAAGGAATGACCTAAGAATTTCCAGAGACATCAAAATAGCTGAAAAACATAAATGACAACTATTACTCATGAGGGGATTCATATGGCCCCCTGTGCAGAAAAGCAAAAAAAGAGCTGCCTGGGGACACGTGCATCTTCCCCAGCAGTGCGTCTGTTCCAGCATGCCTGGAGCAGCCTCAGAGATGAGGGAGGTGAGCTGGGCAACTGGGGGGATTCTGTGGGACTCCACGCCTGCAGGAGAAAACACCCCCACACATTTTCTGCTTTTCCCTGCAGAAAACAGCAGGGAAGCTGGGGGGTGGGGGGGGGAGGGAAGGAGAGGAGCAGGGGAAGTGGGATCCTGGCATGCGGCATCCCCTCGGCAGCTGCTGGGGTTCCCCCAATAAGCAGGCACATCAAACCTTCACCCTGACAAGCCCTACCCCCTACACCTGGACCCATCCAACAAGCCCCCCACACCCAGACCCCCACCCAACTGAGCCCCAACCAGCTGCACCTGCACCTGCACCCCCACCCCATCAAGCCCCACTCCCCCAGCACCCGGATCCCCCCCCCCAAATCCTCACACCCAGACCCCCCCGCCAAGCCCCATCTCCCCACACCCAGACCCCCCCACCCCACTGAACCCAACCACCATCACCCGTATTCCTTGCAGAGTCCCATTGCCCCTGCACCCAGAACCCCCCAAAGAGCCTCTGTGCATCCAGATCTCCCCTGAGCTGCTCACACCCAGATTGCCCCACACAGAAACCTCTCACTCCACATATGGATCCCACCACATTAAGACCCTCCACACTCGGATCCCTGCTGGGCTGAGCCTGCCTACCCACACCTGGTGCGCCTGGCACAGAGGGGCAGGGCCCTGGGGTGTTTCTGGGGCAGGCCCAGCCCTTGCACTTGTCAGGTGCAGGCTCACTGCCGAGTCCCTGCACTGGGGGTGGGGGGCTTTAGGGTGATCTCCCACCTCAATGCAGCCAGTGGCCTGTGTTCCCCACTGCCATGCTGGAGCCACATTTATTTATTGACAAATAAATTTGCAGAATTTTACAATATTGTGTGCATAATTTTTTGGCGCATAATTTTTAATTTATGGTGCATAATTCCCTCAGGAGTAAAATATAGAAGGAAAGACCATAAATGTAATGCACTGTAAAAAAAAAAAAAAAGTAAAACAATTTTATCAAATGAAATATTTTTCCTGTGAATGTTACAGATGTAATACCTTTCTAATACCTGCCAAAACTCAATGCTGACAGCCAGAGTCCCGCTGCCCAGTGCTGACAGCAATTTCTAAATTAAATTAAGCCACACTCATGATCTCGGGATAGAACTCTCAAATATTTGAGAGACATTTGAGAGCTCTATCGTGAGATCACGAGTGAGGTTTAATAACGAGTAAGGATCACGAGCGAGGACAATAATCCATAATTGCCTCCAATGGCAGTGATTCTACTTTTATTACATATATCATAGCTAGGACCTTCAGGTTGATGCAAATGCTAATTTTCATTCATGTAAAGGATACCTTCAAATCTATCTGAAGAATAATATGTTACCATAACTCCTTTCAATTTATTGAGCTCTTTCTATCTAGGGGATATTATACACAAACATCTCGGATAAGCTGAAGCAAGTTATGTTAAAATTTTATGGATCATTCAAAGGATCATGTATGTGTATCACAAACATTTGCCTTTTTATTTATTGTAAAATTTTGGCATTAAAGATTATCATATAAAAATAAAGTAACAGTCAGTCACTCTTGCTTTTCTTACTTACCTTTTCCGTCCCTCTTTTCTTTCCTTCTATATTGGGTACCATTGCTTCCATCTTTTTAAAGTATGTTTTCCCTTAGTCTAATTTCTTCTCCTTTCACTTCTCTTTACCTCTGCATTCTTCCTAATTTTTTCATACTTTTTCATACTTAAAATATTGCCTCTGGCTTCTGAGCCATTAGGGTATATTCGTGTCACCTTTTCAGGGTTTTCTCTGCAAATATGAAGTCTAAAACTTACTTTAAACAAACAAACACACACTCCCCTCCCCCGAAACTCTCACAAAAATCACTTCACTATAGTAGCTGGGTTGTGAAGAAAAATGACAATATGTGCAATAAAAAACACAATTCAGCAACACTCTACTTTCCCTTCCTATTCTTCCTTATCCCTACATTCTCTCCCTCCCATACGTCCTATATTCTCACACAACCCGAAGCATGTACACAGAGCCACATATGCAGACAATCCTAACATTCATATCTAGAGCTCTACCAAATTCACGGCTATGAAAAATGTGTCATGGACCGTGAAATCTGGTCTCCCACCATGAATTCTGGTCTTTTGTGTACTTTTACCCTGTACTATACGGTTTTCATGGGGGAGACCAGGGTTTCTCAAATAGGGGGTCCTCATCCAAAAATGGAGTTGCAGTTGGGGGGGGGGTCACAAGTTTATTTAAGGGGGGTTGCAATATTGCCACCCTTACTTCTGCACTGCCTTCAGAGCTGGGCAGCTGGAGAGCGGCGGCTGCTGACTGAGGGTCATAAACATACTTGTTATTGCACTCCTAATTTGTATACTCAAATACTGCATGTGTACATTATCTGTATGCATAAATGTCCAATTAGATACCTAACTAACCATATGTGCTTGAAAATATCTGGATTTGCACTCACATTTAAGGGAGCTGCAAAAAGAACAGGAGTACTTGGGGCACCTTAGAGACTAACAAATTTATTAGAGCATAAGCTTCCGTGAGCTACAGCCCACTTCATCGGATGCACAGAATGGAACATATAGTAAGATATATATATATTATCTATATATACATATACACACACATTCAGATAAGTTAATTGATCTTTAAATATTCATGGTAAATAGGCCTAATGGCCTGTGATGGGATGTTAGATGGGGTGGGATCTGAGTTACTACAGAAAATGCTTTCCTGGGTATCTAGCTGTTGAATCTTGCCCACATGCTCAGGGTTTAGCTGATCGCCATATTTGGGGTCGGGAAGGAATTTTCCTTCAGGGCAGATTGGAAGAGGCCCTGGAGGTTTTTCGCCTTCCTCTGTAGCATGGGGCATGGGTCACTTGCTGGAGGATTCTCTGCTCCTTGAAGTCTTTAAACCACGATTTGAGGACTTCAATAGCTCAGACATAGGTGAGAGGTTTTTCGCAGGAGTGGGTGGGTGAGATTCTGTGGCCTGCGTTGTGCAGGAGGTCAGACTAGATGATCATAATGATCATTTCTGACCTTAGTATCTATGAATCTAAGTTACCATACAAACTGTGAGAGGCTAATAGATTCAATATGTGTAATGACCCAGCCACTCCCAGTCACCTTCAGCCCCCAACTAAAACCTCTCCAGCGCATCATCAAAGATTTACAACCTAACCTGAAAAATGATCCCTCACTCTCACAGATCTTGGGAGACAGACCAGTCCAGTCTTACAGCCAGCCCCACAACCTGAAGCAAATACTCACCAGCAACCACACACCACACAACAAAAACACTAACCCAGGAACCTATCCTTGCAACAAAGCCTGATGCCAAGTCTGTCTACATATTTATTCAAGTGACACCGTCATAGGCCCTAATCACATTAGCCACGCCATCAGGGGCTTATTCACCTGCACATCTACCAATGTGATATATGCCATCATGTGCCAGAAATGCCCCTCTGCCATGTACACTGGCCAAACCAGACAGTCTCTACACAAAAGAATAAATGGACACAAATCTGACATCAGGAATCATAACATTCAAAAACCAGTAGGAGAACACTTCAACTTCTGTGGCCATTCAGTAAAAGATCTAAGGGTGGCAATTTTGCAACAGAAAAGCTTCAAAACCAGACTCCAAGGAGAAACTGCTGAGCTTGAATTAATATGCAAACTAGATACCATTAACTTCGGTTTGAATAGAGACTGGGAGTGGCTGGGTCATTACACATATTGAATCTATTTCCTTAAGTTAAGTATCCTCACACCTTCTTGTCAACTGTCTAAATGGGCCATCTTGATTATCACTACAAAAGTTTTTTTCTCCTGCTGATAATAGCTCATCTTAACTAATTAGCCTCTCATAGTTTGTATGGTAACGTCTAACTTATCTGTATGTGTGTGTGTGTATATATATATATATATATATATAAATATATATTCCATTCTATGCATCCGATGAAGTGAGCTGTAGCTCACGAAAGCTTACGCTCCAATAAATTTGTTAGTCTCTAAGGTGCCACAAGTACTCCTGTTCTTTTTGTGGATACAGATTAACACGGCTGCTACTCTGAAACCTGTCGTTTAAGGTAGCTGTACACATTGATAGCAGCATCATATTTTTAGGACCTGATTTGAGTGGGGGGAGAAAAAGAGTGGTTTTCTACTCTTCCATTGATTTATCATTCATATCTTCAGTTCCTTCTTTTTGTATCCTTTATGTGCTTTTATTACTCTATATAAACTCAGCTATTTTTCCTAAGTCTCCAAACTCGCTTTCATACCTTTACATCAGACCTTTAAAGAAATTTGAGGACAGCTTTAAATGTTATGTAACTACCAGATGAGCAGAGAGCCTTTATAAGGAGATGACCAAAGGATGCTAAATATTGCTGATATTCAGATCACAAATATTCTGAACATTTATTTATCTTATTCCAATTACTTTATTTATATTTTGTGAGCATTAAATAAATACCCAGGAACTAAAAACAAATCTGATTATATAGTAGTAAATAATTATGGTTACCTGGAATAGCTTCATGTGCTGTCAAAACCACACTTATAATAGGATTTTTAGCTCCTGAAATCTGGTCGCCTTCCTTTGCGGATAGTGTCTTCTCAGTTTTCTGTATCCGTGGCCTCTTCGGAGTTTTTTCTCGCTCATCTTCCTTCCTGTCAAGGTCAACGTCAGAATCATTACCTAAAGAGCAAACATCAAAAAGAACATAACTATGTACAAGTGAAATGCTGTTATATATTTACACCTTGAAAAGAATGGGGAGATACTTAATGCCTTTGTAGAAGAAAAAAAAATTGTAAAAATGGGGCAACGTTGCATTAGTCCTCAAGACAATCTTCCCCCCTCCCCAATGCATGAGCCAATTGTAATGCAAAAAAAAAAAAAACAGGCAGCATAAAAATATATGTAGAGTGGCATAAGGAATATATGTATTAGGGAAAGTAGATTTAAAAATAAGAGGTGGATTTTCAAAAGCACATGAGTGATTTAGGAGCACAAGTCCCTCTTGGAATCATGTGTATTCTTAAATCACACAGGTACTTTTGAAAATCCCAGCAAAAGGTTTGTGCAACTTGATGTGTTTTTTTCATTGGTGCTGAAGACCATTTCTCCCTTTCTGTGCATAACTATCTTGATGACCTTTGCTTAATTTCTCCAGGGCTTGATCCATAATCCATCAAAGTCGAGCCCTTATTGGATCAGGCCCTTATTGGCCATGATATTATCTGTTCAGTCAGCAGCCAGTATAAAAAAGTCCTCCTCCACTGCTAACTTGTTTGCTTTAGAAAATACACTGAAAGAAGTGAAGAGCTTTATTGGTTACCAGGGAATATGGGTTCTTCAGGTATTATTTATATTGGACCCAGAACAGTCAAACGTTTATGTCATAAATATACAGCTAAGGGTAGCATAAAATCCCTCCTTACCTGTAAAGGGTTAAGAAGCTCAGATAACCTGGTTGGCACCTGACCAGAAGGACCAATGGGGAAAGAAGACACTTTCAAATCTGGGGGAAGGGGGGAGGCTTTGTTTGGTGCTCGGTGTGTGTTCTCCCCAGAGACAAAGGGAGAGACCAAGCAAGTAATCCAGCTCCCACTGAAATGATACATCTAATACTACAGAAATAGTAAGTATAGCAAGGAAATGCGTTAGAGTATCTTTTGTTTTAACTTGTGAATTTTCCCTGTGCTAAGAGGGAGGTTTATCCCTGTTTTTGTAACTTTAAAGTTTTGCCTGGAGGGAAAATTCTCTGTGTTTTGAATCTTTTTGTTACCCTGTAAAATTATCTTCCATCCTGATTTTACAGAGGTGATTCTTTTATCTTTTTTAAAATAAATTCTTCTTTTAATAACCTGATGGATCTTCAGAACAATGAAAAATCAAAGTGTGGGTCTCTGTTCACCTGTACCAATTGGTGAGGATATTATTCGCAAGCCTTCCCCAGGAAAGGGGATATAGGGCTTGGGGGAATATTTTGGGGGAATAGGATTCCAAGTGGTCCTTTCCCCGATTCTTTGTCTAAATCACTTGGTGGTGGCAGCATACTGTTCAAGGACAAGGTGGAATTTGTGCCTTGGGAAAGTTTTTAACCTAAGCTGGTAAAAATAAGCTTAGGGGGTCTTGCATCCGTACCCCAGAGTTCAGAGTGGGGAAGGAACCCTGACAGTTTATTTCACTGCATTCATTTTATGAAAAGATTTTATTTTAAAAATGCATAAAGAAATCTAAACCACACCTCAAGACGTAAGATTACACAAGAACACTCATGCTTCTCTGGCAATTTAGGATACTTTACTTTATTTATCAAAAGGCATTTAAAGAAGCGGATAGCCAGACACAAAAAGGTAAGTGACCCAAACAATTATTATTATTATTGAAAGCAAAGTAAACATTTAAAGGGACATCAAGTTAAAATTCAGGCTTCTCTGTGAAATTTTTATTATTATTATTATTTGTATTGCAGTAGCACTTAGGAGCCCTAGCCCTGGACCAGGACCCCACGATGATAGACACACACGCAGCACAAACTATGGTTACAATTAACAACTAAGATTATGATAACTGAAAGGTAAGTCTTCATTTTAAAATTTACTTTGTGCTAGGGCTGTTGATTAATCGCAGTTAACTCACGCGATTAATTAAAAAAATTAATCGCAATTAATCGCACTGTTATACAATAGAATACCAATTTAAATTTATTAAATGTATATGGATATCTTTCTACATTTTCAGATATATTGATTTCTGTTACAACACAGAATTCAAAATGTACAGTGCTCACTTCATATTTTTTTTATCCCAAATATTTGCACTGTAAAAATGATAAAAAAGAAATAGTATTTTTCAATTCACCTCCTACAAGTACTGTAGTGTAATCTCTATATAGTGAAAGTGTTACCTACAAATGTAGATTTTTTTTTGTTACAAAACTGCACTCAAAAACAAAACAATGTAAAACTTGAAAAAGCCTACAAGTCCACTAAGTCCTACTTCTTGTTCAGCCAATTGCTTAAGACAAACAAGTTTGTTTACATTTATGGGAGATAATGGTGCCTGCTTCTTATTTCAATGTCACCTGGAAGTGAGAACAGGCATTCTCATGGCATTTTTGTAGCCGGCATTGCAAGATATGTATCTGCCAGATATGCTAAACATTTGTATGCCCCTTCATGCTTTGGCCACCTTTCCAGGGGACATGCTTCCATGCTGATGATGCTCGTTAAAAAAATGTGTTAATTAAATTTGTGACTGAACTCCTTGGGGCAGAATTATATATCTCCTGTTCTGTTTTACCGGCATTTTGACATATATTTCATGTTATAGCAAACTCAGATGATGATCCAGCACATGTTCATTTTAAGAACACTTTCACAGCAGATTTGACAAAACGCAAAGAAGGTACCAATGTAAGATTTCTAAAAATAGCTACAGCACTCAACCCAAGGTTTAAGAATCTGAAGTGCTGTCCAAACCTGAGAGGGACAAGGTGTGGAGCATGCTTTCAGAAGTCTTAAGAGAGCAGCATTCTTCCACTAGAGAACCCGAACGAAAAGAAAATCAACCTTCTGCTGCCAGCATCTGACTCAGTTGATAAAAATGCCCATGCGTCAGTCCACTCTGCTTTGGATCATTATCGAGCAGAACCTGTCATCAGCATGGATGCATGTCCTCTGGAATTGTGGTCGAAGCATGAAGGGACATATGAATCTTTTAGTGCATCTGGCATGTAAATATCTTGAGACACCAGCTACAACAGTGCCATGCAAACGCCTGTTCTCACTTTCAAGGGACACTGTAAACAAGAAGCAGGCAGTATTATCTCCCGCAAATTGTAACCAAAGTTGTTTGTCTGAGAGATTAGCCGAAGTAGAACTGAGTGGAGTTGTAGGCTCTAAAGTTTTACATTGCATTCAAAAATAAAACAGTTATTTTTTTGTACATAATTCTACATTTGTAAGTTCAACTTTCATGATAAAGAGACTGTACTACAGTACTTGTATTAGGTAAATTGAAAAATACTACTTTTGGTTTTTTTATAATGCAAATATTTGTAATAAAAAATAAATATAAAGTGAGCACTGTACACTTTGTATTCTGTGTTGTAATTGAAATCAATAGATTTGAAAATGTAGAAAACATCCAAAAATATTTAAATAAATGGTATTCCATTATTGTTTAACATCGTGATTTATTTTTTTAATAGCTTGACAGCCCTACTTTGTGCATTTTAAACCATTTGTATATAGTCATTTTCATTGGCCTCTGCTGGTATAGTCAGTTTTCCTCCGCACTTTTCACACAGCTATGGAGAGTGGCCGGGGGAAGGAATAAAAAAAAAAGTGAAAATGTTACTATAAAAATCACAAAAGTTCACAGGGATACACAGCCAACAAGTAATACCTAAGATAATTATAACTGAAAGAGGTGATTGTTCCCCCCTATTTTTCAATATATGTAGATGTCATTGGCATCTCTTTTTATTATTAATTATTATTACAGTCAGATGCTCTTTTTGTCTCATGCAATAGCAGAATATCATCACACATTGCTCTGAGAGGAGCTCACTTGTACACAGGGTCAAAGATATTCACAAATTATCCCTTACTCTAACACAGCTGCAGAGCCACTGCTGTTACTAAGTTTGGGGCAGAGGGTCCCTTCATTCCTACACCCCTCCGTAGAGTCAGAGAACAGTAGGAGTAAGCCTGGGTAGGGCTGAAATGCCCTCAGATCTTTGGACACATTGCAATTCAATGCAAAGTCACTGTACTTTCATCTTATGGGGGCTTTTACAGAAGTAATGTCGCTTGATTGGGTAACTTTCAGGAAAGGTGAAACTTTTCCATATGCTGTGAAATCTGATTAGTTACTGCTACATATGGTGGGGTTTCATATTGATTTGATTTGTCTGGTTCGGTTTTCAGGCGAGGCACAATTTTGGTCTCATTTTATAGAGCTAAATTCATTACATAAAACTCTCCCTAAGGGAGGGCGTAAGGATCCATCCTGTTCATGGAAGGGCTGAGCACAACTGTCAAACATCTGTCAATAGAATCCCCGGAGGCTGGGGAGCATGGAGAACAGAGGCTGCACCCTGTTAAAGGCTCATATAGTAAATGCATTCTCCTCTCTGAGGCACAAATCCTTCCCTGGGCTCCTACTCAGAGCTAGATGCAAAGGGTGGAGAAAGCTAGCACAACGCGTTAATGTGGGCTATGGCTAACATAAGAGTGAAAAAATTAGTCTTCTAACCAGAAAAAATATTAATTAACAGATGGGACAATACTGACAGATTCAGTCAGTCAGTCAGTGACCAGAAATCTGTTAGGAATTTAAAATAGCTTGCCAAGACAGTACAAAATTCAATAGAGCTCCAATCAATAAATAGGAAGTGAGGAAGGTGAACACTATTCGGAAAAGAAAGCAATGACGTCTTCAAAGAGGTTTTTAATTGGAAAAATACAATAACTGTAGTCTAAAGAGACTCAGCAGTTCCTTCAGTTCATACACAAGGAAAGATCAAATGAGAATATATGCATTACGTTACATACCGTTCACCTGCGGTCATTTATGCAGTCTGAAACCTTCCCAGAAACCCAAATAACAATCAAGGGAGAACAGACAGAAGAAGCTGAGTAATAGGTCTATTTGGACCAAGAAATTAACATGTGCCATGATCA